GACATCCGGGCCCATGTTGATGGCTTTTACAGAGACCTATTCTCTACCTCCCCTCGGGGGGGATTAGCCCTTGCCCACGATATTTGGCCGCCCCGGTATTGTGTTTCAGAGGAGGATAACGTTGCTCTAACGGCGCTGTTCTCTGAAGCTGAAGTGTGGGCGGCCATTAAGGGCATGAACTCGTCCTCGGCTCCCGGCCCCGATGGCCTCCCAGTAAAGTTCTTTCAAACATTCTGGGAGTCCATTAAACCAGAGGTCATGGCCCTATTTGAAGAGTTCTACGTTGGGTCCATTGACCTCACCAGACTCAACTTTGGAATAATCACTCTCATTCCCAAAGTTACGGGCGCCTCGGACATCCGCCAATTCTGCCCAATCACGGTGATCAATGTCATCTTTCGCATCCTCGTGAAGGGGTATGCTAATAGGGTGGCCCCAATTGCGGACCGGATCATCCACCCGGATCAGTCGTCATTCATCCAGGGCCGCTATATCCTTGACGGAGTCCTAGTGTTTCACGAAGCCCTACACGAGGTGCATTCCAAGCACCTCAAGGCGGTCTTCCTGAAACTAGATTTCCACAAGGCTTATGACACGGTCAGCTGGCACTTCCTGCGGGAATGCCTGCTCCAGAAGGGCTTTGACGAGCGATGGGTGACCCGGGTGATGCAGATGGTCTGCTCGGGCAGAACCGCAGTGAACATCAATGGCGAGATTGGCCCATACTTCCCCACCTTTTGTGGGGTGCGCCAGGGCGACCCATTCTCTCTGTTCCTATTCAACGTTGTGGTAGATGCCCTGGCAGCCATCTTAGACAAAGCAAAAGTTGCGGGCCACATCAAAGGCATAGTTCCACATTTAGTAGGAGGGACCGGCTTGTCCCTCCTACAATATGCGGATGACACCATTACCATGGTGGAAGGATCGGCGAGCGACATCACGAACCTGAAGTTTCTCCTACTCCGCTTCCAGCAGATGTCTGGCCTTAGGATTAACTTTGATAAGAGCACAGTGATGGCACTGGGGTACTCCGACGCCGATCGACGGAGTATCGCAGACCGGCTCAATTGCCCGCTTGGGAGTTTCCCCACGACTTATCTGGGGATACCCATTAGTGACTCGAGGCTCATGGTGGCCGAGCTACGGCCCACAGTGGGCAAGCTCCAGCACCGCGTGGAGCCATGACAGGGGCGGTGGCTTTCTAAAGCCGCCTGAACGGTGCTGATCAACTCGTCCCTGTCCAGCCTGCTCCTATTCATAATGAGCTTCTACAGCCTGCCCGAGACTCTGCACCATGAGATTGCCAGGGTCCAGGGTTGCTTCTACTGGGCTGGTGAGGGAGACAAGCAGAAGTACCACATGGTACGATGTTCTGAGATTTGTAAGCCTCGCGATCAGGGCGGGCTTGGGATAATGTGCTCCAAGCGGATGAACATTGCCCTCCTAACTAGATGGCTTTGGTGGATTATGAACGACGAGGGTGGCTTTTGGCTTCGCATTATTCAGCAGAAATACCTACGAGGCCAACCCCTCGCCTTTTGCCAGCGGTCTGGTGGTTCCCAGTTCTGGCAATCTATCATACAGCTGCTTCCGGTCCTCCGCATTGGATCCTCGATTACGGTCGGATCTGGTACTGCCATGCTGTTTTGGTTCGATCGCTGGGCTAGGGATGCCCCCTTTGCGGCTCGTTTTCCTGACTTGTTCTCCATTGCGGTAGACCCGCGGATTTCTGTTGCGACGACCCTTATTGACTTAGGGCAACTTGCGTTCCGGTGTCAGTTTGGACCGGCAGAGACTGCGGCTTGGAATGACCTGATCGCTTGCATTGCGCTACACGAACATGTGCTTGAAATGGGTGATGACCGCATCCGATGGCGTCTAGAGCCATCCGGGCTTTTCTCTGCCACATCGCTCTACAAGGCGATCGCCCCCACTCCGGGCCCTGAGGCGCTTACCGCCATATGGGAGATCCGGCTCCCCTTGAAAATTAGGATATTCCTGTGGCAATGGATTCGAGGCCGCCTTCCATCTGGGGTGGAAGTCCTGAAACGCAACGGCCCCGGCGATGGGCGTTGCCCGCTTTGCGGGCCTGAAGAGGATTCGAACCATATCTTCTTCACCTGCTTGTCCGCGCAGTTCCTCTGGAGCTGTTTCTGCGAGATTGTTGGTGGTAGTTGGGACCATAACAACTTCCCCGATCTTTTCGCCGAACTCCAGGCACTGCCACCTTCGTCCCGCCACATCAGATGGCTGACTATCGGTGTGCTTGCCTGGACGCTGTGGACTATTAGGAATAATCTTGTGATTCAGTGTATACCTCTTCGACGCACTACTGATGCTTTGTTCAAATGGTCTGGTTACTTGCAGCTTTGGCGGCCGCTTAGTCGGCCCAGGGAGAGAGACGCCATCACCTCCATCATCACCTAGCTTCGCGCGATGGCTCTCCGCATGGCACCGCCGCTTCCCCCACCATCACCTGAGCCAGATTAGCTCTTCTCTGTCTTTGACGCCGCCGCCGGGTGTTGTTTGTGCCACCCTTGTGGTGTTTGGGCTTGTTGTGCTGTGCCCACAGCGGATTCTGTGGAGTGTGAGTTGTTTATGAGTTTGTGTTGGACCTTGGTGTGGTGGCGTTGTGTGTGTGTGTGTGTCGAATGATACCTTGTTGACTTTGTGCTTGGTGGTTGCTTTATTTATAAAGCGGGGTGAAAGCCTTTTTCGGTAAAAACTGATCGAAGATCAAGAAAAATACTCTAGGACAGCCAATAAACAGATTGGTAGACGAACCCTAGGTACGGGTGGCGCGGTCCCCGGTGGAGATTGAGTTGACCTCTCCGGGGACGGCACGGTGAGGAAGCTGCGGCGGCTAGGGTTCAGGATCAGGGTTAGTCTGATACCATGCAAGAGGACTAGAGAGGAGATTGGTGGAATCGATGATGTATTGCTTGAGCCTCATAGGCGTATATATAGGAGTACATGACTCTTCTGGAGTACAAGACAAGCCAGAATAAATCATAATCTGTCATATATTTCCTAACTAATAACGATAGAGGCAAGGCTGTCGCTGACGTTCAGAGTTAGTATAGTAATGATCTCTCATGTAGCCTTGTGAGAAGATTCACGTTGGTCGACTTTCGCGAGATAACGTAAAAAATTGCAAAGGTCAAGAGGTATGTTGTGGACATTCTTCACCATTAGGGCATCTCCAACACCAACCCTCAAACCTCCTGCATTCGTTTGAACCATGTTGTCCGGACAGCGAAAGCCATCCAACGCGGGCATGTATCGGTCTGCGGCGCGGTCCGCATGCGTTTTCTTACGCAAACCAGAGACAAACGTGGTGGGGCTTTGGGGAAGTCCGGACCGATCCCACGCCCGCTTTTGACCGTCCTGGTCCACCGAAAATACCTCCTCCCTCCAGCTCGCGCTTCCTACCTGAAACGGTCAGCGCTGATCCAGAACTTTAGTGCCCGCCTTCATGCCTGGCCAGAGCGGATGCGACCGCTCACTGGTGTTGGCATTGAAGCGACGCACTGGCTGAGAGAGCGCCGGCCACTGCGTGTAAAAACGACACGACGGTTGCCCGTCCGTCCGTCTGCCTCCCACATTGATGGCACGCGGTTGCCGAGGTGTCTCCTCCGGTGCCACCTGTCTGTCCCTCTACCACCTGCCATTGCTATATAAGCCGCTGCCCCAACCATAGCCGCATTCATCCGCCTCTGATCCCTCTCTACACCACTCCCACCATGGACTCCCCTGCTAAAACTCTTTGGGACGGGCTGACGCCGGACCAAAAGAAGGAGATGACCTCCACTGTTGTCGGCTGACAGGCCGGCAGGCAGCCGGAGGATGACGGCGTCCTAATGGAGGACATGGCCGACGATGACAAGCCGGCGCCACCATCCTCCTCCTCTGTGCCACCCTCCCTGGTGCATTGCACCATGACCATCGGCGAAGCTCGTTCCCATTACATGGATATGGTGCGGGAGGAGTGGAAGGAGTAGTTCCGGGAGGCGCAGGCCGACGCCGCCTACAACGACAACCTCCTTCGGGAGCATTTGCGGGCAAAGGAGCAGCTCATCGCCGGCAGGGCGGTCGCGCCGAACGCAGGCATGGCAGAGTAGGAGGCGTTGCTCGAGTCCTACCGTTCCACCTGCGAGATCCGCCTCGCCCGCTGGTGGTACCGCCAGCAGGTGGAGGAGGTGGCAACCACCGGCAAGGAGTGCGACGAGGAGGCGGGTGAGGCGGTGTTCGCCAAAAAACCGACGATGAGGACATCGCCGAAGCCGCGCCCCACCGCCACGACCATGAAGCTAGCATGTCCGCGTGCGCCGCCGACAGCGAGGAAGAGTAGTGCACGATAGGTCGCCGCCGCTCTAGTCCCAGGAAGGCCACCGCTCCTTCCCTCCCATCGACGCCAAGCTTGGTGGGCTGAGCATCATCGGCCGATTAGTCGCTTGGTGGTGACGTGGAGGCAGACAACTTTAGTTCCCGGGGATCCGGAGGCGAAGGTTACAGATGCGGAGCTGGAGAGCGCCGAGTTGAAGTTGGAAAAGGAAAAGCTTCTATTATCGGGGCTCATGGTCGGATAGGGGATCGGGCGCCGGCGACCAATTAGATTAGGTATTAATTATACCTTCAGAGCCGGACTAGCACCGTAGTTGATGTAAATGTAATGAAATTTATCATGCTTATATGAAATATGTCGTGTTTATATGAAATTCGGCCGTGTTTGCACAAATTTCGTCGATTGGTTTGAACTGTTGTCAAAATGTATGCAGCTACGGTTGGATGGCGGTCTCCCGTATCCATGTCCGCAGACTGGCCCCCTATCAACAGACGGATGCAGAAGAAAATTTGCGGGTTGTCGTTGGAGATGCCCTTATCCCTAGTGCAACCGGAAGTAGCTACGTCATCATCATATGACAATCATGGGCCTTCATCCCGTTGAACCTCTTTGTTTTGTTTTTTGTATCTAGATACCTGCGGATGATACCGTCGAGTCACTCAAAAACTTGAGCGAGCTCATTCTCGTCGAGGGTGAAGTAAACGCGGGAAGGGCAATAATTATCCTTGGTTTTCAAAACACTTTTGCTCTTGTCTGCTTCCTTAGCCTTGCCCTTGCATGTCTCCTTGTTTTTAGGGCCTCCGGTGTGAAGCTCGTCCTCATTACTGATGTCTTTCAAGTCTTGTCTCACCCTCAGCCCATCTTTACTCTTTTGTGGCATCTCGAAAAGTGTACCAAGCAAATTCTCGCAGACATTCTTTATAATATACTCCCTCTGTTCCTAAATATTTGTCTTTCTAGAGATTTCAACAAGTGACTACATACGGAACAAAATGAGTGAATCTATACTCTAAAATATGTCTATATACATCCCTATGTGGTGTCCATTTGAAATCTCTAAAAAGATTAAATATTTAGAAACGGAGGGAGTACATGACATCAAGGTAATGTGGTGTACAGAGGACTTCCCGGTACTCCAAGTCCCAAAAAATAGACTTCTTTTTGCATACTTTTAGCAACATCTTCTCCTTGACTCCCAAAAAATAGAGTTATTTTTCATACTTTTAGCAACATCTTCCCTTTCGCCTCTTTACTGGCTTAGGGCACTCTGTCCAATCCTTCAACAACTGATGATTTCTCCCCGGTGGAGCAGTGGTTCTGAGTGCGATAGGGTTGCTGGGCTGCGACACCACCTGCAGCAACGCAAGTGTGCCATATCCCCGATCCAGCCCAACTATGCATACAATTTCTTCAGTACCAATGAAGTCCAAAGTCCCTTGAAAATTAAGTCCGGATTGAATTTCGCAAGATTTCCAAGGGACAAAAGAATGCTATTTTGCCATTTCGGAATGAGCAATTCCATGAGGAACCATGGAGAAAGAGTTGGCCCTATAGGATTCCCATTGTATTGCTTATTACATATACACTGGTGCACAGGTAGATGTATCTTGTTCAGAATTGCACCATCAATAAGTAACAAGAAAAGGAAAATTTAACAAAACTGCAGCTCTCTACCTTAAGCCTACCAACTAGGAATAATCATACTCGAATATATAATAAAGCAAAGGAAATTAAGACAAAAGAGACTATGCAAGAAACTACCGAGGCCATCATCTTCACCTGTGTTTTTCTTTATACACCCCAGCATTTTGATGAGGAAGCACATGGATTAAATTTCGAGGAAAGCCAAATCTCACTTCAACTGCTCTAGTCGCTCTCTCTGACCTCGACAGGCTTCGCAGCAACAGATAAATCCCCAGCAGGGCCTTTCTTGCCCAGAGGGCTCACACTCTTGGCCTTGCCAAGCCGAACAGCCTGTGCAAAAGTCTTGGTGATATGACCCACCATGTCAGTGGGTACAGTCAAGGGCTTCTTGGGCTCAAGAAAGCTACAATTCTTGGCGATATGACCCACCAGGTCAGTTGGTACAGTCGACGGCTTCTTGGGCTCAGCAACAGTGGAGCTGGATATCTGTTGTTGCTGATACAGCCTTGCCTTATTCTCCAGCAGGGCTTTCTCACGTTCCTCGTAAAAGTTAAAGTCATCGAGGATCGACGCATCCTCCTCATGGTCCTTGAAGATTTTCAGCATCTCCTGTCCTTGTTCCAGTTTCACCTACAATAAAACTCCAAAGTGTATTAGCGCCACACTAAATAGTCTAAGACAGAGCATTCCGATGTAAGTACTTACTGATATCAAATATTAGTACCTCCTACGAAACCATGTTAGGCTATATCATAATAATTTGATGGGTGATATCACTATGAAATAAATAGCGGTACTTCAAGGACAACAAATGTGCAAATCAAGTAACAAATGAAAAGCTATTCAAAAGCATTGTACCTCTTGTGTGTCCCGGCTGTTGGTTACCGGCTTGTGCTCATTGTTTTCAAGAATTATATGGCGGAAGAGATTATTTGGAACATCCTTCAGTATGTGCCAATTAACAGGGAACTGGCCAGTCCACTTATCTTGCTGCCAGTAGTCCACACTCTTCTCAAAATTCACTGGTCCAGTCATCTCCGCAACACCGCAGAACTGTGCGCTAGCGTTCACCTGCACATATTGGTCCACTTTTCAATTCTCAGCGGGGAATATAAATGCAAGCAAACAAACATGAGAGCCTGAGAAAGCACTAATTGAGAAACAGGATAAGGCCTTAATTACCGAAAACAACAGAAAAATGGGACAGTGTTCTTCCTTCTTTACTTCATGATAGGCCCCGTCTAGTTTCTTGTTTCCATTTGTGGTGCTAGCCCAAACACCATATTTGATGCTCTTGTGCACATTATCTTCGCTGTATGATTTTATGATAAAAAATCTAGCATTTTTGTACTCTGTAACAAAATCAGTCCTGTTGTATGACCCCTGGTCAAGTCCAGCAGAAGACTTCTCATCTTTACTGTTATCCTCTCGTTGCTTCTTAGGCCTGGTGGAACGTGGACCACGGCTTTGCTCATTGAGGAAATCAAGTGAACCAACAAAGCTGCATAACAAAGCATTACCCCTCCCTCTCCTGCGCTCTTTGTCAACTGGATTCAAACTTCTACCATTCAGGCCATAGCCAGGGAAAGGACTGCCATAATTAGTGGCATGTGGGAAACTCCCACGATGAGAGAACCTTCTTCCGTAAGAGTCACTAGGGGTTCCAAAACCATAGAAGGACTTCTGCTGAGGGGGCATCTGAAATTGGGAACAAACCGAAGTATTAGATCCTAGTAATAACGATATTTGATCTTGTCTCGTTATAATCAATAATAGTGTTCTTGTCAAATTATCATATGCATAAGCACAGAAAGAACAGGTCATCATCCTAAATAGCTAGTGTGTACGCCGCCATCCAGCACTGATGGCTGATTGCATTTGGAAGCAGGAATCGCCAGTGATCGCCGGTCAGCCATATGGTGGTGAATCCGTTCCACAGATTGAGCTGAATTGCAGCTAGACACATCTTTGGCAGTACCAGAGGCTAATTTATTACAGGATTTGGTCATGTTTTTGTGGTCATCGTGATATGGCAGATTGGAAGTGGTTGTGTCAAACTCTTCAACAAAAATGTTTAGGTAAAAGGCTTTAAACTTTGAATTTTATGGTAAATGTGAGAAGCATGAATGAGAGAATTAGGGGTTAAAACGTCACGTTATTGTTAAAGTATATGTGGATTGCCCAACTTTCTCCATTGGTTTGGGGTTTTGGTTCTACTGGTTGTGGTGCATGAAACCTAATAAGGTCTTGGGTTCATGTCTCGGGTTTTCGCTATTTCGATAGAAAATTGATTAACACTTTCTCTCCATGATTAGGCCTTAAAAAAAGTTTCACACGTCAACCAATAGAACCAAAAGCCCAAAAACTGATGAAAGGTTGGGCAATCCACACATACTTCAACACCCCCTCTCAGTGTGCTGTGATAAGGCCTAAACTCGCTGCAAGAAGAAAAAAAGATAAGTTCTAAACGTGGACAGAAAGAGGGTAACCAATCAGATAGTAGGTTTGTCGTGTGTTGGGGGGTGCTTCTTACAAATAAGTGCAGATAGTTTTTTCTGATTTCTTAAGTATCTAAAGTGTTGTTATTATAAGTAACAAGACATAGCATGTGAAAAGAATACCATCCCAGAAGCCATAGGAAAGTTGCTTTGTCCGAATGCCCCTGAAACATCACCAAAAGGTTGAGGTGAAGTTGCAGGTGATAGAAACGAACCAGTTCCTTGTGACGATCTAAACCATTCTGCAAAATAGCATTTCAAGGAACAAAGTTATAGTCACACCTAAGGATGGAACTTAAATTATCATATTTTAACAAAGGATGAGATAGGCAATAACCTGGTCTTGGTCCAAAAAGGAAGCTGTTTGGACTCAGAGTGTCAGCGATAAAAGCACTTTGTGTTGGGTCAATTGGCATCATTGTCTCACCCTGTGATACGGGAGTAGGAGAGCCTAAATATGGCATGTCAGGCTGTAATGGTTGCTGGTAGTAAGGAGCCGAGGAGAACTGCTGAGGAGAGTAGAGCTGACCATCTCCACTAACACCAGCCGGTACTGGTGTCGAGATAGGAGAATAATGAGCATAAGGGTCATAACCATAGCCACCATGGTACATCATGGAAGGTTCCTCGTTGTACATAACCTTCAAAAATGTCAAACTGAGAAAAGGAAGACATCACGGAAATTATTGACAACCAGAAAATCAACTTACCGCTGGACCCACTTCCAATCCATCAACACTCGTATAGGGAGGATATACATCGCATTCATTTGGAAGGTTCTCATATCCTGTACCTGCTCATATCATGTCACAGACCAAACATTATCATTCATCAACTCAAGAGAAAAGTTCTAAAATTTAGGAGACATTAAAATCCTGATGCTGACGCAGCGAAATTGGTCAATTCAAGGCTGAGATGCAGGCAGTGTTCCAGATGAGCTATCTTGGACTGCTCTCCTACTTCCTCGGCATCAAGGTGATCCAGGACGCCAGCGGTGTGACGATCGTCCAGTCCGCACAATAAGGGCAGGATGACGGGGTGCAACATCTTTCAGACGCCGATGGAGGCCCACCTGAAGCTGAGCAAGACGAGCGCTGAAGCACCAAAGGACGCCGAGTACCGAAGCATCTTCGGCAGCCTGTGATACCTTGTTCACACCCGACCTGACATCGCCTACGCTGTGGGCTATATGAGCAGCTTCATGGAAGCACCCACTGTCGAACACCTGGCAGCGGTCAAGCACATCCGCAAGTACGTAGCCGGGGCACGTGATCTCGGCTGCCATTCTCCTCCGGGACGCTCTGGTGAAGCATGCCGTTGCGGCTCTAGCAACGGCGACATGGCCGGGGACGCCGATGACCGCAAGAGCACGGCGGCAGCCCTGTTCTTCCTCGGCGACAGCCCCATCAGCCGAAAATCGCAGAAGCAGAAGGCGGTGGCCCTCTCTTCATGCGAAGCTGAGTACATCACAACCACGATGGCCGCCTGCAGGGGCATTTGTCAGGCTCGTTTGCCCGCCGACATCACCGGCAAGGGGATCACTACACCAACTTTTCGGGTGGACAACAAGTCCGCCATTTCCCTCTGCAAAAACCCGGTGCTCCATGACGACAGCAAGCACATCAACTTCCGCTACCACTTCATCCGTCAGTGCGTAGGAGCAGAAAATCGCTGTCGAGTTCATCGGGACTGAGGAGCAGCTTGCTGATGTTCTGACAGAGCCCCTGGGCCGCATCAGGTTTCTCCAG